TGGTCCCTGGGTTGAGGGGCTTCCACGGCGGAGAAAGAGAAAGACACTGCGATAGTTGCTTTCATTTTGATAATGAAAGCTCCAGGGCTGGGTGATTTGCACCAAGTGAAAGGGCTCCAGTGTGAGTCCCCAGCACACACCCCACCATGGTGCCCAGGACAGGAAGCAAAAGCAGGGGAGTCCCATGAGAAGGACGTGGAGTCCTCCCGGGGCAGCGTCCCCTGTGACCCATTGTGCCTCACCAGCCACTACCTCATGATGCCACCACGTAGAGGACGAAGCTCCCAGCTCGAGAGCTCCTAGAAAACACACTGGAGCCAAATCAAAGCTGGGCCTGGTGGTGCACACCCATAATCCCAGCACTTGGGAGGCTGAGGCAGGGGGATCATGAGTTTGAGGCCAGCCAGGCATCCAGCACAGCAGGGAGGAGTGGCTGCTGGACAACAGGGGCTGGAAAAGCCCAGGCCAGGGTTGGGATGGGCTGGGACCTGAAGGAAGCAGGGCGGTAGCTCTGAGCAGAAGGAGAGGAGAACCAGACACCACCGCAAGGACACGCTGGGCTGGGAGAAGGGATGGCCAGAAACTGGGCTGCAGGGGCCCAGCGCTGCCCCTCCTGCCAGTCCTCAGGAAATCAGGCTGCCTACGCAAGATGCCTCTGGTCCTTCAGAAGGAGATGATGGCAAGGCCCAGTCAGGAGTGGTGGCAGTGGAAGTGGCCGTGTCTCCCCTGCTTCCGCTCTGGGCCAGCCTCTCTCCCCCACAGGGCCCTGCCCCCACAGGAAGCCTGCATGCTGGGCCTGGATGAAGGCAGGGTGCAGCCCCAAGGCTGGCCACTGCCCAGTGGTGGCCTGGAGGGGTCAGCACCAGGCCACCAGGCCCCACCTGCAGCATGGAACATGTCCTTTGGCAGTGTCCAACTGAAACCACTGCAGACAGGTCCGGGGGTACCGGAGCTGGCATACCTTGCTCCAAACAGCCCCCCACCTCCAGAACCTGTGCTGCCAGCAGCCTGGCCTCGCTGTACCCGCACGGGGAGGTTCCGGTTCAAGGCCTGCCTGGCTCTGTCCCCACACCCTGGGAGAAGTGGGCCTTTGTCCTCTCCCTGTGCTCAGAGAGACAGGACAGGACCGCTTCACACACCTGAGTCCATTCGTGGGACACTTCCGGAAGAGGACAAAGAGGTCCTACACGGGGGGCTTGGGTGCAAAGGAAGATCGAGACTCATTTCTTCCCCGATTTCCTCTTTACATCTTAGACCTCTTTATGCCTTTTACTGGCCGTCTGCAAGCGGCTTTCTTTGAACCCTGCCCTTCAGAAAGGACGGGAGTGTGGGAGGCTAGGTCAGGCTGTGTCCCCAGACTGACTTGGCAAAGCCCCGCCCCGTGTGATGGGGAGGTCACGAGGGCGGAGCCTCAGGCTGGGCCTCCCTTGGAAGGAGAAAGTCCTCCGGACCCAGCCTCCGTGCATGGTTCAGGTCAGAGTCGCTCCTGGGCGCTGTGCTCACCGTGGAGTCATCCGACTTTTCTCTGCTTCCTGGCCGCCTTGGGCTGAATATCTGTCCTGCACCAGGCCCTTCCACCCTGGAGCCAGCCAGCCCTGGACTGAAAACGTGAGCCAAAGTCAGCCTCTCCTCCTTTCAGTTCTGGGTGTCAGGTGCTGAGTCCCAGCAATGGAAAAGCGACGGAGACTCACCGGCGCACTGATCGCAGGCTCCAGCTTCAAGAACTATGAGGTAAGTGTTGTCTGAGCCCCTAATCTGTGACATTTTACCGTGGCAACTGGCGCCGCCCAAGTCAGCCTGCACTTCCACTTCGAGCTGGCCTGGAGCCGGGTGCTGGGAGCTCTTGCTGGCTCTGTCACCCGTCACCTGGCCTCCCTGGAGGAGCTCCAGGTTTTGCTGGAAGGACAGCGGAAACTCTCTTGGACACTGTTCCTTTCCCCTTAGAGAGGCTGAACCATGTGCAGACCAGCTTCCCTTTTCTGCAGTGGACACACACACAAGGGCCAGTCCCTCGCTGGCGTGACCACACGCACTCTCAGCTTCCTGTTGCTCCGTGGTCTCTCTCCTGTAGCCAGGCTTGTTTTGACCTTTTACGATGGAAACTTTCAGAAGAGAAAATGGTAAGCTGGAGCCCATGTGCCCATCACTCAGCCTCCCTCTCCTCGTCACCAACGCTGGGCCCTTTCTTCGTTTCTAAAATATGTGTTTGACGACTCATGAAATTCCTCTTCCTCTGAAGCCTACAGCTCCACGGCTTTTAGGGTTTTCACAAGGTGGAGCGGTCACCACGTAGAATCCAAGACACCTCGCCGCCCACCCTAACCCACCCCCGGCCTCATGTCAGCACCACATGGGGCCACTCGCACCAGGGCCTCAACGGTTGACCTCTTCTCGGGCCTCCAGCCCTGCACAGCCACGGTGGGGACGACACGGTCTCTGTCCGTCTGTGACAGTCCCCTCCCTGGGCCGCGAGCGCACGTCTGTGTGTGTGCGTGTGTGTGCGCATGCGTGCGTTGTCCTGTGTTTATTTGGTATACCAGATCACTTCTGTAGAACTTCCTGCGTGCTGTGCTCCGCCGTGGCCTGCCTTTCCTGTGGTGTGGCTGGACACCGAGTCTGAGCCAATTCGGGCTCAGCTGTGGCCAGGTCACCCCAGGGAGGAGGCTCTCCCGTGCCACCCCTGCGGCCCAGTCTGTCTGATGGACTCTGGATGTACAGATGGCTCTGGGAGGTCAGAGCATCTGCTGACCCCCCTGACAGTGGCTGCTCCCCTCAGCCTCTCCTCAGGACTCGGCAGTGGTTGCCTCAGCCTGGGCCCTCATTGTTCTGGAGGCCTCAGAGGGTGACAGTCTCATTCTCTTGCTCCTCCATTTTGTTAGCCGACATTCATCCCAAATAGGGACGTTTCTTCATCCTTTTCTTTACCCATTTCTTGGGGTTTAGGGTGTGTGTTTTTTGAGACAAGGTCTCACTACGTAATTCAGGCTGTTCTTGAACTCACTACACAGCCCAGGGTAGCCTCGAACTCACAGCAGTCCTACTGCCTCAGCCTCCTGAGTGATAGGATTGCAGGCATGTGCCTCCACGCCCGGTCCATTTCCTGAATAAGAAGACAGTGCCATAGCGCCCCAGAGGTGACTGGTGACCCTTTGCGAAGTTGTGGATGATTAACGAGCTGGTCTGTTTCAGCGCAGCGTTGTCCTCTCGGAGCCTCAGACTGCCCGCCCGGCTCCGTGGTCCCTCCCCAGGTCACACGTGGTCTTGACACACAGCTCTCCCCGCCAAACACGGCCCTCCCCCAAGCCTGCGCAGCGGCCCCTGCCAGCAGGCAGCGGCAGAGTCCCCGCCAGGAGCCACAGTCTGGGTGTGCAGTGCGTGCGGGGCTGTTTTGTCGGGCAGGGTTTCTTGGGGCACAAGAGAAAAGCGTGCTATGAAGTCGTACTGACGACTCAGAGCAGCTCAGCAGGACTGGTCGTGGTCACAGCTTCCAAATGAAGCAACAGTGAGGGCCGCAGGGCCCACCGAGCCCGCATGCCAGGCTCCCAGCAAACATCTGAGATTGCTGTTGGCACAAAAGAAATCTTCAGTGAGCACCTTCTACACGTCCCCGTCCGGCCACAAACCTCCCCCCCGGTACGCGTGCCTAGGCCTGAGGGACCGTGCGTGGCTCACCCACTCCCCGCCGAGTGCTGTGCTGCTCTGGGGTCACCTAAATGTTCCTAAGGGAGCGAGTGACCCGGCTGAGTGCCCTGGCTCTAAGGATGAGGCGACGGCTGAGTCCCTCCACCCAGTCCTCGTGTCCGGCTCTGAGACACGGGCCTGGCGAGAGGACCCAGAGTGAGCTTCCAGGCGTCTCCGTGTGTGCGCCGCTTGTCCTACAAAGGACAACACACAATTCAGGGGTGCCCACACACAATACAGAGCTCACTAAAAGCCTGGGGACAGCAATTGCGCTTCTAAAAACCTGAAATATAAAGACACAGCCGCAAAACCTGCAGCAGCACACAGGCAGGGCCACTCTCGGCAGAGTGGCTCAGAAAGAGGAGCTTTCTGTACACAGGAAGGCTGTGCGCCGCCTCCCTGAGCCACTGCTGCCCGTGTGAGACGCCTTGGCATCACGTTCTGCAGAGCCCGTGGCCGACCCGGCGCAGGTACCCGAGGCCTCTGAGTGCAGCCACTTGATTTCTGCACCGCCGCCTCTGCCGCCTCTGTTCCAGGCACAGTGGGGTTGCATCGCCACTGGGAGGGGGCGTCTGGGCAGGAAGGGGACAGTTCCAGGGCCAGCTGCAGGCCGTCCCTCCCTGTGGAAGGCGGCCTGCACCAGGCCAGGCCAGCCGGGTCTCCCGAAGGCAGCACCTCGGCCCCAGCTCTGCACCTGTTGCCCCGTAGCCTGGAACAAGTCTAGAAGTCTTCGTTTCCTATCTGAAGTGACCATTATAAGGCCCGCCTGTCCCCCCTGGGCCGGGAGGATCCCAACAGGCCGCAGGTTGGGATATGGGTGGTGGCAGCATCTGAGAGGGATGCAGATGTCAGGGCCAAGGCTCGATGGGGGTCCAAGGGCGGGAGCCTGGGACGGGAAAAGGCAGGAGCACGCTGCCTGGAACCTGCCACCCTTGGCCTCCGCCCTCAGCACCCTCGGCACCAGGGGACAGGGGAGGGGCCACCACTCCGAACACGCAGGGTCCTCAGGGCCTCCAGGGCCCAGCTGCCGATGGCACCACCTTGAGATCACCGTGGGGCCTGGGCACCCCACTACCCCCTTCTGGGTCTACCTGGGCTCCCACCCTGCCCCGTACACATCAGTGCCAGCTGCTCCCCAGGCCTTGACCAGCACTGCAGGCCTTCCTGTGTGTGGAAGCACACACACTGCATGCACACACGCATGCTGTACACACTGCACAAGTGTGGCACACGTGGCAAGTGACCGCACGGTGTCCTCCTCTGCACAGCCACTGCATCCCAGGGTGGGGTGACACTCGTGCCCTCTTCCTCCCATGCAGATCAAAGTGGAGAACCAGCTTGACTACCAGGACATCACCAGCGTGGTGGCCATGGTCAAGACCTATGCCACCACCGAGGCCTTCATCGACTCCAAGTACGACATCCGCATCCAGAAGATCGGCTCCCACTACAAGGCGTACATGTGAGTCTCGGGCAGGGAGCGCAGAGTTGGCACCACTGCTGTCCTGCCTCAGCCTCCCCAAATGTCACAGCCATCCCTTGCTGCCCCTCTGCTGCTCCTTCTGTGGCCAGGATACTGCGGCTCCTGTCAGCCACGACCCGCCCTGGGCAGACCTCTCCCCACACGGGCTGTTTCCCTGGGGACGAGGCCTTTCGGGGCCTGCTGGGGTTTGGGCCTCCAGTTGCCCCCGGCACAGAGAAGCAGCCAACCCACTCTGCATGGCGGAGGTAACTCTGGGCGGCCACACGGTGCACGCCTGTCATCCCAGCGCTGCAGGAAGCTGAAGCAAGGGATTGAAGGTCTGAGCCCAGCAGGGGCAACTTAGCAACTTGGGAGATCTCAAAATGAAAAATAGAAAAGCTCTGTGGATATAGCTCAGTGTGAAGATCCTGGGTTCAAGAGTCAGTATCGAAAAAATATAGATTACCCAGGGCCATGGCTCCAATGGGGCTTCTCTGGAACCAGAAAAACCAGTTCGAAGCTGGACATGGCGGCACACACCTATAATCTCAGGTGTTCCAGAGGCTGAGACAGGAGGATCACAAGTTAGACAGCCTAGAGAGACCCTGTCTCAAAGTAAAAAATAAAAAGTCAGTGATAGGCTGAGAGAGAAGTTAGGGAAATGATCCCTTTCACAGTAACATCCAAAATAATCAACGAAATATCTAGGAATCAATCTCATGAAGGAAGCAAAAGACCTCTACACTGAAAACTACAGCACTCTGAAAAAGGAGATCAAGGAGGATATAAGAAGATGGAAAGACATCCCTTGTTCCTGGGTAGAAAGGATCAATATAGTGAAAATGGCCATACTTCCAAAGCTGCTATATAGATTCAATGCAATCCCAGTTGAAATCCCAACACTATATTTCATAGAACTAGAGAAAACAATCCAAAAATTCATTTGGAACCAGAAGAGACCTAGGATAGCAAAAGCAATTCTAGGCAATAGACACATGGCTGGGGGTATCACAATCCCCAACTTGAAACTATACTACAAAGCTACTGTGATAAAAATAGCATGGTACTGGCAAAGAAACAGACCTGAGGATCAGTGGAATGATTAGAAGATGCAGAAACAACTCCAGACACACTCAGCCACCTCATCTTCAACAAAGGAGCCAAACACCCTCACTGGAGGAAAGATGGCCTCTTTAACAAATGGTGCTGGTCAGTGTTGATTTCCTAAAATGAGGGGAGAAGTGTTCCTTCTTTTTTCTGCTTTAAATGTTTGATATAATTCATCAGTTAAAATGTATATGAGCCTGTTGTTTTCATATAGGTAGGTTTTCAAGCTAGGAATATACTTTCTCTAATAGGTGCTATTCATATTTTATATTTTCCTCCAGAGTCAGTTTCATTAATTTGTCTTCCAAGGTACTTCTTAGAAGTTGTCAAATTTATTTCAAAAAGGATTTTTGTAATCTACTTTCTATATCCTTTTAAATTCTTTAAAATCTGTGGTAGTGTCCTCTAAATTTTGACATTGTAATTTTTAAAATGTATAATTGATATTGTGTAATAGGAAGAAAAGGTCTAAAAGCATAGGGGAAGTTGGAGGGGTAGGAGAAAGGAAAGAAGGGAAAAGAAAACATATGAGAAAAGGAAGAACATGGAAACAAAGTCTTTGCAAATAGAGAAGGGTGGAGGGGGTGAAGGGAGGGCAGGGGAAGGGGAAAAAAAATAAGAACGGAGATACATCATGTACAGGTACAAGATCCCAATGCTGAATGTGAGTGTATTTTATATCTAAAATGTATCCGTAAACTTAATGGGAAAATAAATAAATAAATGGTGCTGGAAAAACTGGATTTCAACCTGCCAAAGATTAAAACTAGACCCCTATCTTTCACCGTGCACTAAACTAAAATCAAAGTGGATTAAAGATCTAAATATTAAAACAGAAACACTAAACTTGCTGGAAGATAAGTTAGGTAGAACCCTCAAAGACACTGGCATAGGAAACAACCTTATGAACAAATCCTCAGTAGCACAGGAACTAGCATAAAGAATCAACAACTGGGATCTCATCTTATTAAAAAGCTTCTGCACTGCAAGAGAAACCACCAACAGAGCTAAGAGACAATCTACAATGTGGGAAAAAATTTTTACCAGCTGTTCCTCAGACAAAGGTCTACTATCTAGAATATATAAAGTACTCAGAAAAAATCAGACCCCCCAAATATAAAGACCCAATTCAAAAGTGGGCATCTGAAATGAACAGACATTTCTCAGACAAAGAAGTAAAAGCAGCAAATAAACATATGAAAAAATGTCCAACATCACTGGTCATTCGCGAGATGCAGATGAAAACAACACTGAGATTCCACCTCACCCCAGAAAGTGGCTGCTATGAAGAAATCAACCAATAACAAATGCTGGTGGGGTTGTGGGAAGAAAGGAACCCTTCTCCATTGCTGGTGAGAGTGCAGACTGGTGCAACCACTGTGGAAATCAGTGTGGAGTTACCTCAAAGAACTAGGCTTAGAGGTCCCATTTGACCCAGATATTCCCCTACTGGGAATCTTGCCCAAAGAATTAAAAGAATCATACCACAGTGATATATGTGCGCCCATGTTCATACCGGCACAGTTTGTAATAGCGAAAGCTTGGAAACAGCCCAAGTGCCCATCAGCTGGAGACTGGATAAAGATGTGATGTTTTTTTACAAAATGGAGTACTACTCAGCCATAAAGAATGAGAAACTGGAGACATTTATAGCTAAGTGGATGCATATTGAGGCCATACTCTTAGGTGAAATAAATAGGACACACGTGTAAATATCGAATAGTTTCTCTGGTGTGAAAAACTAAAAATGTAAATTAGGATCAAAATGAATAATTGATCATGTGAAACAGGAAGAAAAGGTCTAAAGGAGAAGGGGAAGTGGGAGGGGAAGGGGAAAGGAAAGAAAGGAAAAGAAAAAATATGAGAAAAGGAAAAATGGAAACAACGTCTTTGTAAATAGGGAAGGGTGGAGGGGTGAAGGGAGGGCAAGGGAAGGGGGAAAAATAAGAACCAAGATATCACGTGAAGGTACAAGATCCCAATGATGAATGTGACTGTGCTGTATACCTAAAATGGACCAATAAACTTAATGGGAAAAAAAAGTCAGTGATAGAGCAGCTGGGTTCGAACCCCACACTGTAAAAGAAGAAGAAAGAAGAAAGCCACTGCCCAGGAGGCCATATCAGGGCTTGCAGGCAGGGAGCAACAGGAAGCCTGGATGACTGTTTCGTGGGCTTTTCATTGAAGGGAATTTGTTAGAATACCATAGGTGATCAGAAACTGTAAAGCACTAAACACCAAAACCCCACGAAGTCAGCAGTGTCAGAGACACTGGGGACCTGGGAGGCTCCAGGAATCTGCACAGCCAGAAATGACGGACTATCCGCACGGCCCCTGGGCCGAGGATCCACCCAAGCGAGCATCCGCAGTGCTTCTCCGCGATTGGGATCCCATGGAAGCAGCGGATGGCTAGGGAAAGTCAGGCCAATGTGGAGAGCCCACCAGGAAGGACGAAAGCGGAAGGGGCCATGCCCTCCAGAAACGGTGCTGTGGCTAAAGGAAAGGCAGGACCCACGGGGGTCCACAAGGATGGTCACCCCGGGGCTGGGGCCAAGCTGGAAGAGGTGGGGGTCCAGGCCTCCAGAGAGGTCACACTGTCCCCGGGCCTCTTGGGAAGGCTGGGGCCGCTGCCCCTTGATGCTGAGGCCCGAGGGCCAACTGTGTGTGCCGAGGCACATGTGAGGCCTGGCGGTTGGGCCGGACAGTGGCAGAGTCTCCTTGGGCACAAACCCAGTGCCGTGTGGCGAGTGCCCAGGAGCCTGCCACCCCCCACTTCCCAGGGGAGTTGTGCTGGTCGTGGCCGGCCCTGTCAGGCCCTGTGGCTCCGGTTGCTCCTGCACTCCCTGAGCGGCCTCTCCTGCCGAGGGCCAGCTGGTGGCCAGGCTTCAGGACCACTCGGTCTGTTTGGATCTCCACTCTCAGGCATTCCCTGGGACGCCGGAGCAGTCACCGGGACAGACCCAGGGGAACAGCACTGGAAGGCCGGCGCTGGTCCGCAGGGTGCGCTCAGCCCTGCCCGTCATCCTCCACCCTCTCCCGTGCCAGCTGATTCTGACCTCCTGCGTCCCAGGGGTGCTCGGACCCCTCCCGCCCTCCAAGCAGCGCGGCTACCCTGATGTCATTTCCTGTCCTCATGATGTCATTTCCCTCCTGTCCTCATTGTCCAAGCTCCATTCCACACTGGCGACACCTTGTCCTGGTTTCTTTTCCCATGGGTAACCTCTTCACCTCCCACTTTGTCCAGAGCCTCTTTGGCCTGACAGCTGCAATTTGTCATCGGTCACTGTGTCCTGGACCCCAGTGCCCGCACCAGGGAGGGGCTCAGTGGAGAGCCTGGCTCCTCGGCCGCATTCTGCTCTGCTGGGCACATGCAGGCCTATGTCAGGGTTCTCTGAGCAGACACTGGGAGGGAGTGTGTGTGTGTGTGTGTGTGTGTGTCCTGGCCCACGCACACACACACGTCCATGATTATTTCTCTGCATGTCCGTCCATCTGTGTGCTAAGCCGAAGGTCACGTTGATCAGTGCCCCCCACTCCTGTCTGGGGCCCTGGACTTCCTGACCCCCAGAAGCGAGACAGAGCCATTTCTGGGCTTTGCTTGGGTTCAGTTTCTTTCAGCGGGTGGTGTTGTTTAGCAGCAGTACTGCGGATTGGACCAAGGAAGCCCTGAGTACCTCCCAGCCCTCTTATTTTTCAACTTTGAGACAGGGTCTTGCTAAGTTGTCCAGACTGGCTTGAACTTGCCCAGACTGGCTTGAACTTGCCTAGACTGGCTTGAACTTGCCATGTGCCTGCCTCAGCCTCCCAAGCAGCTGGGATCACAGGCGTGTGCCCCCACACCCAGCAAAATTTCTGTTGCCTGTGAGCTACCCCGTGCATGGCATTCTGCTGCAACAGCCCAAGTAGACCAAGGAACTCGGATCACAGGCAGACATCCCAGGCCCCTCCGCGTCCACCGAGGCCCGCGGCTCTTCTGCAGAGGGTCCAGGCCACCAGCGTGGAGCTGAGACAGGGTTTGGGGCAGTGATGACAGCACCGGCTCTGTAGACTCTGTGAGCTGAGGTGAGCGGTGCTGGTGACCCCGTGACCCCACCTCAGGCAGCTGTGGCTCCTCATCTGCCCTGGGTCGCGTCCTCTCCAGTTCCTGTGGCCTCGGCCCAGACACCAGCTCCACCTGTCTCTGCTCGCTTAGAATAATAGGAGCCCGCATTGTGCCGGAAGATTTATGGGCTGTTTCCTTCCAGGGCACAAGAAGCCCTGAGCAGGATGGGACCACAGTTGCTCCCATTTTACCAGGAAACAAAGACTCAGACATGTTGCCATGGTTACACTGCCAGCAAGGGCTGAAACCAGGATTCAAACACCTCTGTCTGAGTCCTCCGTGCCCGTCTAGGTCCCCTGTCCCTGCTCACCTTCCAAGGTGCACAGTGTCTGCCCTGAGGTCTCGGGGTGGCTGCTTCCTCCTCGGTCCAGAACTCAGCTGCATTATGCATTGTTAGCTCCCTGCCCCCGCCCTCAGGTGGCCGTGGTGCTGGGACCCTCGGTGGCCCTGCGAGGGGACCCAGATGGAAGTGCACTGACCCCTCAGGAAGAGGGGCCCAGGGTGGTTGGGAGGAGCCTCACACACAGTGGGGAAGGCTGGCTCTGAGGGAGCCTCACCTCACAGGAGCCGCAGGGTGGGCGGACTTGGAGGTGGAGGTGCCGGGAGCCCGAGACTGGGCGAGGGCCACGCCCAGGGAGCACTGGGAGGTGGCAGAACAACCTCCAGGTACCGTGCAGAGAAGGCCAGGAAGATAGGCAAGACAGGCGGCCACTGACAGCCCGCTGCCCTCCCAGTGGGCAAAGTCGTGGCTTCTCTGCCAGGGTCACACTTAGTCCTCCTTCTCCTTGAAAACAGGTCCAGTGTTAGTCAGCTTTTTGGTACCGGGGATCGAACTCGGGTCCTTCCACTTGTGAGGCAGTGGAACCACTGAGCTAAATCCCCAGCATAGTCAGCTTTTTGTTACTGTCACAGAACACCGAGATGAATCAACTTAAGAAGAAGAAAGGTTGGTTTGGGCTCACAGTTTCAGAACTTTCAGCCCCCGGTTCCTTGGGGCCTCTGGCAGCCAAGGCACAGCTTTCCTCAGCTACCTAGGAAGCCAAGGAAGCAATGGGAGGCTCCGTGCCCCCTCCGAGGGGCACTTCCGGACCTGACTTCCCCCCGGGCTATGCCCCTAAAGGGCTCCAGGGACCCAGCCTCAAGCCTTGGGCCCTTTCGGGAGCTGCCACAGCACCAAGAGTAGGGCAGTTTTCTCAGACATCAGCCTTTTTAGAAATAACCCTTCAATGCAAAAAAAAAAAAAAAAGGTATAGGAAACAATATGTAAGATGCAACAAACAAACATGTCATCACAGGGAGGAAAATAAGATCGGAAAGGCAGGCTGGGGTTGGTGTGCACCCGAAGCCCACGCCACAGCTCCAGACACTGGGCTGTGTCCCAGGGCAGCAGGCGGGGCAGCGGGGCGGGAGGCAGCGGGCAGCCCTCACGTGCCTGTCTGCTGCAGGAGAACCTCCATCTCCGGGAACTGGAAGGCCAACACGGGCTCAGCCATGCTGGAGCAGGTGGCCATGACCGAGAGGTAAGAGACATGCAGCCCGGGCTGAGGAGGCTGGGGGTGCTGTGTGCCCTGACGAAGCTGGTGAGGACAGCTGGCCGGAGCCCAGGGGACCCCCTTCCCCAGGAGAGGGTGGAGCCCCAGCCCCGAATCAGGAGCCTCAGGGCCAGGGGAGCCGGGTTCCCAGTCATGGGGTCCATCCATCCCCTCTGAGCACGTCTGCCAGCACCCCTGTGCAGGGCTCTGCTCCCGGCCAGCCAGGCAGTGCTGGCCAGGGCTGGCTCAGCCCAGGGGAGGCCACACTGGAAACGCTGGGCCCTCACCAGGAACTCAGAACACACAAGCCCATTGGCAGCGGGGACCTGGCTCCTCAGACCCAGGCCATCGCTTCTTGAACACAGCTGCTGCTGAGCATCCTCTGGCCGCCCCTGCCCGTCCCTGTGGCCGAGCAGCTGCTATACCGTGACTGGACAGCCCCGTCTGGCCCTAGGGACCCCAAAGATCCGAGATCCACACACAGCACTCCTCTGTGTGTGCCAGGGTGACAGCCAGGGCTCAGGGGAGGGTCCCCTAGGAGGGAAGAAGAGCCCGTCGCCCAGCGGGAGGCCGGGGTGGGAGGATGTCAAGCTCCTGCCACACCTGGGCAACTTAGAGTTAGAGTGACCTGGGGACACAACTCCGTGCAAAGGCCCTGGGTTTGATTCCAGTGGTTTATAAAAGGGGGGTGGGTAAAGGAAAGAAGGACTGTGTAGGAGCTGGGGGAGCCAGAGGACCCAATCCAGGGCTGAGCCCCCTCGAGGAGAAGGTGTGACTCGACCGCCAGAGGAGCAAGCCTGTGTGACCCCGCACAGAGTGGAGGCGGCCTGGTGAGCCCGCCGCACCCAGCCCGGAAGGAAACTGGTGCTCTGCGCCCCCCCCCCCGGTGCCACCAGCACTAGCGGGTCTCCCCTGCAGGCTGAGGCAGCCAAGCCCCTCTCCCAGTGCTCATGGGACAGTGGCCCTTCCTGGGCTCGGCCCCAGCCTTCCCCAAGGAGAGCTGCTCCCGCAGGGAGAGGCAGGTCTCACACGGGGCAGAGCCTGCGTTTGCTCAGCTCTCTGGGCCGGGCCAGGCTCAGGCACAGCCGAGACAGGTGTGCCTCCCTGTTGCAAGGATAAGGAAACCAAGCTGCAGGGGCGCACACCCCACAGTACTGGCGGAGCCTCAGCCTCTCCTTTCCTCGTCCTCACTGGGAGACCGGCCGGCCCTGGCAGGTGGAGGCCAGTGTCCCTCCCAGATGCTCGGCCACCACCCTCCTCGTCCAGGACCGGGGCTCAGAGCCACAGACGGAACAGAGAGTGGGCGCTGCCCTGTGACCGGGGAGCCGGGAGAGGGCAAGAGTGGTGACAGAGTCCCCTGTGACTCCCCAACTGCCCACCACAGGACCCGAGGGCCAGCCCGGAAGTCCTGGGGACAACTGCCTCTTGTGGCAGGGTCGGCCAGCTTGGGGCTCTGTCCCCAGCAAAGCAAACTGGCCTTGCAGCCATCGGATGGCTGACGGGGAACAAAAGCAGCAGGGCCACTGGGCCTGCGTCCCCGGGCTCAGGGAGAACGCTCCCTTTGTCCCCAGGCCTCTCACGGGGCTGGGCAGGCTCCAGTCTGGGAGGGCGCAGCAGAGCGTCTGGGCCCTCAGGCGGATGGGGCAAGGAGGGTCTCCCTTGAGAGGCTCCTGTCCTCGCTCTCTTCTCCATATATTCATATATATATCCCCGGTACAAAACATATATATATATGTATGTATGTATATGTATAGTTTTTAATTAAAACATTCGTAGTAATTTTTTCTGGTGTCAGAAATCGAACTCAGGACCTTGCACTTTCAAGGCAGGCAGCAGCACCACTGAGCTAAATCCCTAGCCCTCATTCATTGTAATTTTTATCACACCCCCAAAAGGCAATGCTTAGATTTTTTTTAATTTATTGCAGTAAAAGGCACATGCCATGAATCCCCTCAAATCCTGCTCGCTGCTCCAAACACACCCATCCCATCCTTCTTGCGGAGTTATGCAGCAGCTCTGGAGCCCTCCCTCTTTCCTGAGGGTCTGTAGCTGCACTTCCTGGTGCTTCGATGTGCAGAATGGATTCAAAACGTTTCCCTTTCACGGTCATTTTGATTTTGGGGAAGAGCTGGAAGTCCAGTGGTGCTAGATCCATGAATAAGGTGGGCGAGGACACAGCGTTGTGTTTCTGAGCCCCCTTCTGCTGGATGGCACTCAGCAGCAGTGGCTGTGTTTTTGATCACAGCTCACAGACCCTCAGGAAAGAGGACTCCAGAGCTGCTGCAGACACTGGCAAGGATGAGGGATGAGTGTGTTTGAAGCAAGGGGGAGGATTGGCAATGTGTCTTTACTGTAGCAGATCCTTTATCTGAACATTCACTGTGTGTTCGTCACACCACATGCCCGTGTCTGCGTGTGGGCACGTATGTGCCTGTGTGTGTGTGTGTGTGCGCGAGCGCATGTGTTTGCGTTTGTGTGTGTGCGTGCATGTTTGTCTCTCTTCATCCATCTGCCTGTCCCGCTGGGCGTCCCTGCCCTCCCCTCGGCCCTGCTCAGGGGTCACTGTCACCTGTCCCTTCCCGCAGGTACCGGCTGTGGGTGGACAGCTGCTCCGAGATGTTTGGTGGCCTGGACATCTGTGCGGTGAAGGCCGTGCACAGCAAGGATGGCAGAGACTTCATCATCGAGGTGCGGAGCCCGGCCCTCAGCCCCAGCTCAGCCTGCGCCTGCCATGGGCCTGGGGGTGACCACTTCCCCCAGCTAAGGGGAGAGGATATGGGACGACTCACCACTGTCCCCTGGGCCCTGGCCAGTGTCCCAGTGTGTGATGGGAACACACTTCCCTGGTCACTCTGCAAAGACTGAATTTATTCATTCAACAAACGTGAGCTTCAGGGGCTCCCATGACTAGACATGGGTGGCTCTGGGGACACAGCAGAGAGCGGGATGGGCTTGCAGCTGCAGCTGGCAAGGAGAGGAGGAGGAAGCGGGTGATGGGTGGTGAGAGGGTGCCTGGGATGGAGACAGGATGGGGTGCAGAGGCTCAGGTGCCCCCCACCCCTGCCCGCCCTCTCCTGCTCCCCACTCGGCTCCCAGTGCATCCAGACCACAGACACAGAGAGCCCCGGGCAGCTGATGCGGCACTCATGGCCGGGCCCACAGGGCCTCCCTCCACCCGGGACAGTGCCCTGGAGCGCACCCCACTCGGCCCCACGCACCCCTCGATCTCACTACTGAGCCTCCCTTGGGGCGCCGGAGCCCAGGACAGGTGAGAGGAGCAGCAGCGCAGGACAGCGGCATCCACAGTCACCTCTTCCCCGCGCCTGCTCCGCCCTCTGCCCTGCTCCCCTGGGGAAGCAGAGCCTGGCCGCCCAGCACCTCCTCCCAGGACCCAGCCGCCCGGGAAGATTCCTGTTTAAAGAGTAGCGGCTTGGACTGCAGCACACGGGAAGACAGCTCACACGTGTACCAGAGAACAGCGGGCTCAGGGCTGTTGCTCCAGGAGACACCACAGGGTGCTCCCTTCCTTGGGTTTGGGGCGGCTGGGCAGCGGGAAGCTGCTGAGCCCTGGGACACAGAAGGCCACGGACGCCCTGTAACCTGGCCCCGCAGCAGCTCCGCGGCAAGGGCACTGCATCCGGAGCTGTGATGGAGGGAGCGCCCTGAGACGCGCCCATCTGGCTGCGGGGGACTCACCGTCGCCTGAGGACTTCGCTTCGGGCCTCTGAGCACCCGCTACTGTCCCGCGCGGGCCCAGCAGAGCGCTGCACCCGCAGTTCGCAGCTGGGAGGGCTCCCCTGAGTGGACCCGGACGCCGCCTCCCAGCACCGAGCCCCGCACGTGGGCAGCTTCCCTGATGCGCCCACCCTGCCCTGCCCCGGCGCGTGCTCGCAGGCCCCAGTCCCGGCCCCGTGGTGGCCGCGTCCCCGGGCAGGAGCGCTGTTTGCATCGCCTCGGGAAGACCCTGAAAGGTTCGCCATCGCTGCCCTCAGGCCCAGAGCCCCGAGTTGCCCCTCACGGCTGCTTGTGAACGCGGCGACAGAGCGAGGAAGCGGTAGGCCCGTGCCATCGCGTCCCTGGGCTCACTGTGCCGCGCGCGCGCTCTTGGTGTCTGGGACGAAGAACTTGGCGGGGCACCGGGCAGCGAGGTGAAGGCAGAGCCACCAGAGGGAGGCATCCGGGCCTCAGCCGGCCGGTGACCGCCGGTGACCTGACGAGCTCCGCAGAGCGGCAGGGCCGCAGCCGCCCTCGGCCCCACAGGCGGGGTCTCCTTGCGCCGTGGGGCTTCCCCCGCCAGGACCTGTGAGGCGCTGGCGGGCCCCGCCCCACCGTGAGCCGAGCTGGGGTCGCTTGGCGCTGGGACACCCTGGAGCTCATGCGCGGCCCGGTCGGTGGGGCAGGTGCCCTGCTGGCGTCTGGAGGACGCCGGGCCCGCGAAGCCAGCACGCGTGTGCTCTTGGCCCACCCAACACACAAGCCCTCCACTTCCTGTGGGGACCAGGGTCCCCCAGTGTGACAGGAGGGACAGCCGACCCCCTCACCTTCCCTCCAAGCCCGGCCTGTACCGTTCCTGGCCACCTTGACCCTGGCCAGGGACAGGAGGCCCCAACTCGGGAGGGGGTGGTGGGAAAGGCGGGACCGGGACAGCTCCCCAGGAGGACAGGAAAGGGCAGCCCGGCCCGGGAGCCACTGCAGAGCCACTGCGGGTCTGTGTGGGGACAGCGCCACCTTGTGGCCGCCCTGTCCTGCAGGGCGCTCTCCGGGCGGTGCTGGTCAGGCCCTGAGCAACCTCTGTCCGCGCAGGTCATGGACAGCTCAATGCCCCTGATCGGGGAGCACGTGGAGGACGACAGGCAGCTGATGGCCGACCTCGTGGTGTCCAAGATGAGCCAGCTCCTGGTGCCAGGGGCCACGGTGCCCTCGCCCCTGAGGCCCTGGGTGAGGCTCTGGGGTTCTGGCCGGGGGGCCTGAGTGCGAAGTGATGTCCCTGGGCAGGGACAGGTGTGGACACCTTGGAGTGTGCTGGGGTTCGGGTCCTCCATTCCAGGAGGAAGAGCTCTTCTCACCTGGGCCTGGGGGGCAGGGGGGCGGGGGTCGATCATATACCCCAGGGTGCCCGGCACCGGTCAGTGGAGCCCATCGGGTCTCCTGTCCCCACCCCTAGCGCATCTCCCACAAAGCGCATCCCCCATAGCACCCCAGCTCTACCAGAGTGCCCTGCAGAGAACTTGCCGCCCGGCCCTCAACCAGCTCCCAGGTCGGCAGCCCTGCTTTGCCCGAGGCCTAAGCTGTAAAGGTTAAATTTCAGGCTTTGCTGGGGGCCCCGGGGCAGCCCCCCACCCCAACAGCCTATGCAACACCTCGGTGTCCACCTGAGAACCATGCACAGATGCCAGGGCATGGTGGCGCACACCTGTGATCCGAGCACCCTGGAGTCTGAGGCAGGAGGATCCTGCAAGTTCAATGCCAGCCTAGGCTACACGGTGTGTTGAAGACCACAAACATCTCAAAAAAATAAAATAAAGAGTGCTGTGACATGGGTCTCGCCTCCAGGATAAAATCTTCTACAAAGCTCCTCCAGCCTGGAAAGCCAATGGCGCGGCCAGCACAACCAGCTTCCTTTTCCTTCTGCTCCAGGCTCCACAGACTAAGCCAGCAAAGTCTCCAGGCCAAGGCCAGCTGGTGCCTCAGCTGGGACAGCCCCAGACCCGCCCACCGCCGCAAGGTAAGACCCAGGGGGCCCGGCAGCTCCTGGAGACTCAGTCTTCCTCCCCGGACCCTGCGCACTCAACCTAAGTGCAGAGTAAGGAAGGCTAGGCCCCCTGACCCCTGCAGGCCAGGGCAGCAGAGAGGGGAGCAAGTACACTGTTTAGGGCATTTAATATGAGCCTGTCTGCCCACACTCTGGGAGGCTGAGGCAGGAGGATCCCAAATTTGATACCAGCTTGGGCTGCTTAGGGACTTAGCATGACCCAAAAGTCTCAAATAAAAAAGTATAGAAAGGGCTGGGGACTTGGCTCAGTGTGAGTTCCTGGTGCCACTGGGGGGGAGGGGTCCCGAGCACAGTGTGCAGTGCATATTAAGTGTGTGTGTGTGTGTAACTCAAGATCTTTGCCCTGAGCCACATCCTCAGCACTTTTTACTTCTGTTGTTTTTTTTTTTTGGTACTGGGGATCAAACTCTGGACCTTGCGCTTTCGAGGCAGGGAGGGGGCGGAACCACTGAGCTAAATCCCTGGCCCTTTACTTCTTTTTTTTATTCTGAGACAGGGTCTCTCTAAGTTGCAATCCTCCTGCCTCAGCCTCCCCAAGTGCTGGGATCCCAGGCACACGCTAGCTTGCTCCTCTTGTCTGTATCTTCCCCACTCTGCGCAGTGGAAACCTCAGTCTCCCCTTCCTGAGGCAGAGGTTGAAGCTTCGCCCGGGAGGCACCACCAGAAAACAGCTGGTGATGAGTCTGCCCACCCTGACCTTCCAGAAAGCGCTGTCTGGCTTGTGCTGCCCGGTCTTAGATCTGTGAGCCAGGCAGCCGGGCCCAAGGACAGGAGGATGCGGGCATCGCAAATCCCCGCAGCCTTGAGGGTCTGCCCTGAGCTCCACCTGAAAAGGCACCTCCGTCTCCCAGGGCCTCCTGGCCTCATCCTTGATGCAGCAGCTGCATCTTGGGGAACAGCGGCCTTGGCCCTGGCGACTTCCTCATGCCCAGGCCTGGGTAATGTCCCCTCCCTCCTGCCTCCTCTCCTCCATTACTGTCACTTAGTCGGTCTACTCCTTCATGTCAGCTTACATCTTCATACAAATGAGCTCAAAGTTGACTTTCCCCAAGGCACGCCAAAGTACATGCACAATTATCAGAATTATGCCCAGCCACAGACTGAACGTCACCGCAGCCATCAAAACCCCTGGCTCAGTGCTGTCTGGCTCTGGGTGTCTGTGGTCCAGGTCTCCTCGTGACACAATCGCTTCTTCACCATCGCCTTCAGGTGGGGCCAGGGCCAGCTGCCGCTGAGTTCTCAGTCTTCTCATGTCCTTCCCTCATCTCAGAGTTTTCTCCCATGCCCGGTACACCAACAGAGCCCCAGGGTCTGAACGCTCAGATCGCTGTGTAACAAAATCGACCTGTTTGGTGAGCGCTGACACTTGGGGGCCTGCACAAGGTGCCTTCCTGTGGTCTCGCTTCTGGGAAGACCAGAAGGCCTTGAAACAAGAGGAAACCATGCAGTTGTCCACAGCAGTGTGGCAAGCACCTAGGGAAGTCAGCTGAGTGGAGCCGGTGTGTGGGCTCACGGTTCCAGGGGTTCAGTCCAGTCACGGCCCAGGCGCCTCGGGCCTTGGGCAGCTTGGTGACAGGAGCAGGTAGCAGAGGATGGCTGCTCACCAGAAGCAGAGGAGAATGGAAGGGGCCGGGGTCCCGGAAGCCCGTCAGGCTCACCCCAAGTGACTCCCCTTCCTCCCCCACACTGGGCCCACCCCCTACAGCACCACCCGCTGAGGACCACGTTTTCACGTGCGGCCTCGTGGGGACATTTAGGTGCAACCCGAACAAGCTGTGTGTGGACAAGTCTCAGGCAAGTGACAGCTGCTGTCAGAGCCTCAGTTTCCCCACAGATAAAGGAGGAAGGAACAGCGGACGTGTTTAATGATAGGAGGTGTCCAGGACGACACGGGAGTGGCTTCTCCTCCCCGCACCGGCCACCGGCCAGCCGCCTTCCTCTCTGCCCCACAGCAGAGGCACGTTTGACAAGGGGACATCATTCTTTTTTGTTTTGGTACCAGGGATCAAACTCGGGTCCTTGCGCTTCCACAGCAGGTGGTGAAACCACTGAGCTAAATCCCCGGGCCCTAGGGGACATCATTCTAAGGGGCGTGCGGCTCAACGCACTTCTTAGTGAGTCAAATAAATAATCAACTTAAAGCCAATTCAGGTAATTAAAGAAAATGTTCCGTGAGTTAACATATAGATTAAAAATAAGGCTAATTTTAAAACGATGTTTTCACCAATTTCTCCACTCTCAAGATTAACTTGTTTCAAGCTCACTGTTCTTTTTCAAACTCAGTCAAAGGGAAATTTTTCTTTTAATAAACCTCATGGTTTCTCCACATTAATCCTGAGCAGAGACAAACACTTCCTATCCTCTGCTACTGAGCTGTGGGTGCTCAAACGAGAACTTCACGGGGTTTGCTCTGCTGAGAAGCGAGAGAACCAGCTGGAGCGCCTCTTGGGCTCCGGAAGTAGCTAACGAGGTACAGAAGGAGTACCATTTTCCAAGGTACCATCCACCAGGGGCAGGGGGAAGGGCCTTAAAGGTAGAGAGCAGACGTTTTCTTTGACTTGCAGTGGTTTTAAAAAACAAAAAAATGCAGCCAACATTTAAAAACCAGGAACTTTTCCTTAAACATCTAGTTTGGTGGTGGTGCTTTTTGTTGGTGGTGCTTTTTGTTGGTGGTGGTGGGTTTTTGTTTTTCTTTTTTTGGCTTTTTTGTTTTTGACAGACTCTTCCTATGTAGTTCAGGCTGCTTCAAACTCACTGTGTGGCCCGGGCTGGCCGCCAACTTGCGGTGGTCCTCTTGCCTCAGCTGGAATGACAGGTGTGCGCCATGAGGCCCGGCGCAGACATCTAGATTCTGTCTTAAACTCCCAGAGTCTCCAGACTCTCTCTCTTGATGGCCCCGAAGTTCTGGAAACAGCCAGCCTGGTGCTTCTGTGGATGGAGCAAGGGCGTCCTGCCTCCTGGGCCTCCCTCTTCCCTCTGTGGCCCCCAGGGTGACAGAGGAGTCCACTCTTTGCTCCAGGTTTGTCCTCTTGAGAGAAGCAGCTCCCTGGGCTGTGTTCTTGTGTCAGTCAGAAGGGTTTTTAAGCCATGTTTTTCCTGCGCTCTTGAACTTTGTGCCCCTGCTGGAGCCGTGGGTGTTCGAGCCACAGTCCCTTCACAGGGACATCTCCACCCACGCAGTGGCTGCCAGGCCATCTGGGAGGTGCTGTGTGAGCTCACAGGAGGGAGGCTTGAGGCTCCGACTCCACCTGACACCGCAGCCACAGGGCCACCAGGTGCTAGCCATGCCTGCTGCACACCAAGGCCACACAGGCTCAGCGCCAGGCCTCGGCCTGCTCAGAGCCGCTGCCAGAAGCCGCCTGCGAGAACTCAGGGCAGCCCCAGGTGGGGAGGAGGAAGAGGAGGAAAAAGAGAGATGGGAGGAAAGAAGGGCAAGGGGGAGGAAGGGGAAGGAGGAGGAGGGGAGAGAAGACAGGAAGGAGCGGGCCTTGGGCTGAAGCGCCAGTGCCTGCACCTGCAGGAGAAGCCACCATCTGTGCCTCTGTGTCCCCTTCCAGCAGGGGCCTTGGGAGGCTCATGCCACCCCTGGATGCTGAGCAGAATGCATCTCCCCTGCCTCTCTGGAGCAAGAGATACAGAGCCCCTGAAGGCTCTAGCAAAGTGTGCAGGGCACCCCCAAAAGTCAGAGGTTCCTTTCATGGCCTCTGGGGCTGCACAGCGTGAGCAGGAGGAAGACTCGGAGCCTCCCCAGTGACACCTGGGCGCCCCGCTGCGATGGGAACTGCAGAGCTTCTACTGCCTGCAGCCTCCGCCGCCTTAGACCAAGCAGGCCGGCCTGAAGAGAGAGGTTCACTTCCGGGCTGGGGCTGCAGCTGCAGGGTCAGGCGTCAGTGGGGCCGGCTTCCCAGCCACTCCTCTCTGCTGCCTTGGTGCTCAGGGACATGCGTGTCCTTGGTGTCCCCTCTTGCTGTAGGGACCCAGCCTGTGGGTCAGGTTGCCCTCGGCACCCTTGCCTTGCTGGGCTTCTTAGAGCCCCGGTCTCCACGTCCGGCCGCAGTGATGGTCACTGGGGGACACTTCGTCCCGGTCCCTGAGGTCTCACAGCTGAAGCTGGGCCCACGCCCTGTGCTGCCTCCCAGGCTTGCTCTTGCACGCAGCTCTGCACGTGTGCCGAGCAGTGGAGCGTGGCACTGCCTTTCAGGCTGCTTTTTGGTGGTGTGATCAGTGTTTCTGATTAACAACGTCCTGAGTCAGGGAGGCCACCGCCTCCTCCGAGACCAGGATGAAACTCCCTGCTCCTGGCTGCTCCCCGTCCCAGCTCTCACGGCTACGGACAGCACCGTGGAGAAGGGAGGGGGCAGCGGATGGGCACCGTCCCCCCGCGCCCACCTGAACTTGCCTCTCTTTTTTGCCTGCAGGGGGCCCTCGCCAGGCTCCGTCTCAGCCCCCCAGGCCTAGAAGCCCCTCCCAGCAGCGGCTCTCCCCACAAGGCCAGCAGCCCCTGAGCCCACAGCCGGGGTCCCCGCAGCCGCAGAGGTCCCCGGGCTCTCCACAGCTGGCCCGGGCTTCCGGGGGCTCCTCCCCAAGTCAGGCCTCCAAGGCGGGTACCACCCTCCCGTCCCAGCCCCGGCCACCTGCACAGGGCCGCAGTGCCTCCCAGCAGGGAGAGGAGCCCAAGAAGACAGCGCCGCCCCATCCCCACCTCAAGTAAGTGCTGTGGGGCCAGCAGGGCGGAGCGGGCTGGGCTGACAGAGGTGGACTGAGGGGGCCCTGGCCGAGATTCAGGGAGTGGCATCAGTGAGGCAGGGCACAGTGAGCAGGGTCGAGATGGCCCCGCACCGCTCCGTGAGCTCGCACATCTGCCACCACTGCCTGTTCCTGCACAGCGAGCCCCCCAAAACCGAGTCGGGTGAGAAAGCACTGTTTGCTTGGTTCATCTTTCTTGGTTCCACGGTTTGTTCTGAGTTGGGCTCAGCTGGACGGTTCTTCTGCTGGTGTCTCCGGGAGAATTGCTGGATCAAAGAAGGGATGGCCCCACAGACATAACTCTGAGTATAAGTAGGCCCCAAATTTTGCATGGGTTATACTTAGACTTTTTAATTATTTTTGTTTTGAGACTGAGATTTGCTATGTAGTCCAGGCTGGCCTTGAACTTACAATGTAGAGCCTTGAACTCAAAGTCGTCCTGCCTCAGCCTCCCAAGTGCTGGGTTACAGCCATGAACCACCATGCCCAGCAAGGATGCTTACTTACACTTTTAAGTGATACATTTGTTTTCCATCCAAAATTTAAATGTAACTGGGTACACACGCTGCTTCCTCTCAGGCAGCCATCCCCTGTGTGACGTTAGAAAGAGGGAGCCCTGCCTCCCGCCCATGCAGCCCACACTGCCGTGTGCCTGCACGGCAGCACTTCAGCCAGGTGGGCTCCTTGAGGCTTAGGGGTAGTGGCTGCTGTGTCCCGTGTGTATGCAGGAGAGCGAGCAGAGGCTGAGAGTCTGGGGGAAGTGTCCACTGCTAGGGGGCAGAGCGGCTGGGACGGGACCGGGACCTTGGTCCAGAGATCAGACTCACTGTGACTTTTCACCAGTAGGTAACAGAGCCACATGGTTCAGGATCTAACAGACCCAGCAATGCCGAAGATTCACATTGAAAACCTGCCTCCTGCTCCCTCCCTTCCAATGTATTGCTCCCCGAGTCCCTGGAGGTGACCACTGGCATCCTTCCCCCTGTGTCCTGCCAGCCTTTCCTTATGCCAAAATAAACATGCACCTTCTACCCAGGTGTGCTGGTGCCACCTGTAATCCCAGCAGTCTGGAAGGCTGAGGCAGGAGGATCCCAAGTTCAAACTCAGTGGGGTGACTTGGTAACTTAATGAGACCCTGTCTCAAAATGTGAGAGGAGAGGCGGTGCTGGGTATGTACCTCAGCACAAATGCCCTGGGTTCAATCCCAGTACTGCAAAAAATAATATAAGATACATGCACCTTCTGATCCCCTCCCCACTCTTACACAGTGCTAGTACCCACACCACTCTGCTCCTGGCTTTCCATGTGTCACCTATGTCGTGGCGCTCTTACGCCAGTTCACTGACATCTTTTTCACAGCTATGTGGTATTCCCACTGTGCAGGGACCACGTGGTTTACCTAACTAATGCATCATGGACATGATCCCACAGCACTGCTGAGGTGATAACCTTGGATGTTTACTCCCACGACTGCAGGACTCGTGGGAGAAAAAAGTACCTGAAATGGATGCTGCACAGTTTGTGCAATAGACATTAGCTGCAGCCTCCCGGCAGGCGACAGAGCACAGCAGCCCGCCGCCCAGCCCTCCAGTCAGGCTGCCTGGGTCAGCCCCGGCTTCCCCACAGAAGAGCCGTGTGGTCTCAGAGAAGTCATTCAACCTCTCTGTGCTTCTTCAGTGTCCTCACAGGCAAAACAGGGAGTCACCCGCTGAGGTGAAGGACGTGTCACCATGTTACTGTCGGAGCGCCACGCACGCACATGGATGCACAGCTGGCGCGGTGTGACAGGGTTGTCCCAGCTCGCCATAGGGCACACGGGGCATTCAGACCTCAGCCAGGCCTGGCCCTGACTCAGAGTAACCCCACTAGAAGCAAAAACTCGATGCTTTAGAGGATTTATTTTTCAGTATTGGAGACCGAACCTAGCTAGGCCTTCATTCTGAGTTACATCCCCAGCCCTTTTAATAGCTTTATTTTAAGACAGGCCCTCAATAAGTTTGTTACATTACCCAGGGTGGGCTCAACCTTTGGATCTTCCTGCCTCAGCCTCCCAGAGTGCGGGGCTACAGATATGCACCACCATGCCTGTTTTGTTTTGTTCTGCTTGGTGGCACTAGGGGGGGTCCAAGCCCCTGCAAGTAGCAGGCAAGCATTCTGCCAAGGGCTACACCCCGCCCCCAGGAACACCAGCCCCCCTGGGAGGCTCTAAGGGAACTGCCGAGAGCGGGGGAAGCCCTGCCCGGAAGAGGCTTCAGCCTTTTAATGTGGGAAGGATCTCTACACGGGGCCAGCCACGTTGTCCAAAGCAAGGTGGGGGCCGCCCGGGCAGAGACTGGGTTCCAGGCTGCGCTGCAATGCGTAGTGAGACCCTGTCTCAAAAAAACCAAACAGCCAACCTGTGCCACGTTCTCATCATCACCTCCCCTGGACTTGAGCCTCTCAGGCAGGGCCTGCCACACTCACCCGGCGCCGGGCCTGGCACACAGAAAGCACTCAGAGCAGTGCTGCTGCAGCCTCGCTCCACACTCAGAACAGCAGTGATGCCAGATGTGGCACCGACCACTCCCAGGGCCAGGGGCAGCAGCGCCAGGAGAGGCTGGGGCCTCGGTCCAGAGGGGAGAGGGGCCCTATGGCCTCAGAGGCGGGGACTGGGTGTGGGTGTGGCCCGGGCCCCAACACTGCACACATCTCGCCCGTGTACGGGCGGGGGACAGGAGCTCCACACCCCCTTGCACAACGCCAGGCAGTCAGGGGAGTTACCCCTCCGGGAGCCCCACGCCTGCGCAGATAACAGCACCTGGCAGGCTGAAGCACACACACAACCCCTGCCCCAAACAGCACTCGCACTGCAGGGTGCCTCTGGCCTCGCTGCCCCCGCTCCACCTCCTGGGGAGTCTGGCCCTCAGCACCGAACCCCTGCCTTTCTGTTTCAGCAAATCCCAGTCCCTGACCAACAGCCTCAGCACGTCGGACGCCTCACAGCACGGGGCCCCGAGTGAGGACGAAGCCAAGGCCGAGACCATCCGCAGCCTGAGGAAGTCCTTCGCCAGCCTGTTCTCCGACTAGCGCCATCCCGACTGGGGCACAGGAGGCCGCCCTCACTCGAGACCCTCCTGCCTCAGCCACCTCCTGACCCTCAGGTCCCAGGGTTTGCAAAGGCCTTTGACCCAGGAACTGGTCTCTACTGTGTTCCCACTTTCCCTGGCCGTGACGTCCCACCTCCGTCTGAGCCAGGGCAGTGACGCCCTCCCCCTCGAGAACCACGGCACCACTCACCCACCCTCCTGTTTGCCCGGCCCCGTGAGTGGCCCTACATCCCCTCCCGTGCAGCTGTGCTTGCCTGCAGCACTGGCCCCGCCCCGGCCAGCTGGTCACTGGAAGAGCGCCTCGTGTCAGAGGGAGGCCAGTGGCAGGCGCAGCACCGAGCCGTGCACTGAGGCCTCCGCTCTGCCAGGCAGCAGGCCTGGGGCTCCTGAGGGCAGCAGAAGGAAGGCAACTCCCACAGCACACGGGGCCACTGAGAACCACGGAACGGGACGCTGTCCTGACAGCGCCACCCAGCATATCCTCCTCACGGTTCTCATGGGCCCGGGCAGCTCCCACAAGGGCTCAGCCTCCCTGTCTCCTGCGGGGACCCTGCATCCTCCTCCAGGCGATCCACGTGCAGGACCAGAGCTGCAGGGTCAGGAACTTCCTGCTGTGTAGCAAGGTGCAGGCGTGACTCAGTTTCCAGAGCTCTGGGTCAGGCAGGGTTGAAGGGGATCAGCACTCTGCCACCTGGCAAGCAGACCAGCTGCAGGATGGAAGGGCACCCAGACTCCCTTCCCGGCACTTCCCGCCCTGCCCAGACGAACCCTCTGATGGAGGCATCCCAAGCCACCAACCCCTGGTGCTAGAAACACTGCAGGAGATAAGCAGCCCCCGACGCCGAAGGCACCTTGTTACCGCGTTCTCCTGACAGCAGCTGGGCTTGGGGAACGGAGGAGGAAGACTCCAGGCAGTCCGCAGTCAGGAGCAGCTTCTAGTTGTGCCCAGAGGTATATTCGCCTGTGATCTGCTGAGACCCAGCCAGGCCCGGGCATACGACCGGTCGCCACCTTGTCCATCCCTGCAGACGGGAGCAGTGAGCCCAGGCCTACCTTTCCCGCACTTTCACCTCGAGCCTCCTCGGTGGAGCCCACCCCCAAGCTGGCTTCCTGCTTCCTGACAGGCTGCTGGCGAGGCCCTGGCTGGGGTCGACCACCAGCTTGGTGCGGGCCTCAGGTCCTCCTTGCTTCCTGGTGCACTTCTCTGAGAGCCTGCGCTACCCGAGACGTCCTCTTGCTCTGGACCCCAGACCAGCTCTGGTGTAAGGAAGATGGACAGGTCTAGCTGCCAGTGACCAGGAGCCCTGCCATGGCAGCGCCTCCCTCCTGTGCTCAGCTCCACACCACCACAGACCGAGCAGGCCAGGAGCAGCCTGCATCCTCCACAGTCACCAGGACTTGCACCTTTCTGAACAGGACGGACAGCTCCGTGAACAATGGACACGTGGCCTAGGGTTGCCACTTTCCTATTATTTCTTCCCGTGTCCCTAGAAAGACCGAGGCACACACAAATCTCCCCACTATGTCAACTGCAGTAGCAAAGGCTCCCTCCCACCCCAAACTGGGCCGGGCCCTGGTAGCCTCACACAGATGGCTCTGCACCTCGAGGCGACTCGGGCCTGCAGAGCACGTCACGTCTGAGTCATCCTGCACAGGTCTGCGAGCACACACAGTGGCGCTCGGTGCAGTCTCCTGGAGGCCACAGACCCCCAAGTGGACCTCTCCCAGAGACGAGCTGTGCTCCTTCCAAAAATGTGACCTTTAATAGCTGTGGCTTCTGGACACAAGAACGGGCAGGGATCATTGTACATAGCTTCTAAAAGGTTGTATTTGTTGTTTTTGCTTTGTTTTCCAACTCTGACTCAAAGAAAGGCTAGCATTTTCCCTGCATGCCGACTCATGCAGCTGACATAGGACAAAGCCCCATTCAGCCTGTGCACAGTGAACGGCGTGGGGGGGGGGTGCCTCCCCCAGCCAGCGGAAGTCTCCTCCCAGCTTCCTCCGACCACATGGTGAGCTGCACGGGACTTGGCCAAGCCATCAGCCTTCTGGTCACCAGTGCACGTGTGCTTCCTCCCCAGCCGCCCCTCCTCGCACTCGGGCCCTGTTGGTGGCAGTGAGTCCCACCCTCCCCAAACTTCAGGTGATGGGGCTGCACACGCGTAACAAATGCCGGCAGAGCCCCTGAGCTCAGCACACCTGCATCTGGACGCTGGGCCATGGCCGCGCAGCGGGACCGCACTCCGCTCTGCACGTGGTAGACACTGGCTCCCTAGAACACGCTGAAATCAGTGTGAGGTGAGGGAAGAGCATCAACGTGAGGTCGCCTGCCCAGGAATGGAATCAAACCAAGGTGAGTGAAGTGAGGTCATAGAGGAGAGGCTATAAGGCCAGTGGCAGCTTCTTAATCCCAACAGGACCTCTTCCAGGCTGTACCAGGAGGAGAGCAGCGGGAGGCGCTGCAGGGTCACCACTGACCCCCTCAGGGCCTTCACAGCAAAGGCCAGCCCCAAGGCCAGGACGTGGCTCTCCACAGGTGAGCCATGCGGGCTGCACCCCACCACAGCCAGCGGCAGGCACGAGGTCCTTCTGTCCCCACTGTGAGCGACCAGTCTCTCAAGCTTGGCCCCTCCTGTTCCGCATTTAGGGTTCATGGAGGCTGCGCTTCGTGAGCGGCTAAGCTGGTTCAGTCAGGCTTGTAGGTGCAAGCGGTAACCTGGGTAACCATCAGGACCCCTGCGCCCTGGTCCCTGGCAGGTGTCCTAGACCCTCGGCTGTCCTAGAGCCCTAAGCAGCCACAGATCAAAGGCTTCAGTCTGAGAACAGAAGAGGCGGCGGCAGCAGCTGGGCGACAAGCGAGCTGGATGGGTCCATGTGTCCAGCAGTGCGTAGAGGACACAGAGGCTCCCTGATTCCAGAGACTAACGTGGACACTTGGACTGCCCATGGGGTCCCAGTGGGTGGGCCGAGGAAGACAAATGGCAGGGAAGGGGTCTCCAGGCTCAGCGGGGCTGCCTCAGGGACACCAGTCTGACGCCAACTCTCCTCCGGTAGGGCGCGCTGTCCTGAGCGTGACCTTTCCTCACTGGCAAAATGCTCTTCCCCCCGCCCCGCTTCCCCAGCTCCCCTGCGCCCAGCCCCTGCGGCCTCTTGCTGGCTTCAGCAGGGGCAATGGACTCTTCCCTGCTCTGGGCAGAGAGCAGAAGCAGTGCCACCACCACTGGCGAAAGCAGGAGACCGATGCTACGCGAGCCCTTCTCTGCGAGCCACCCTGTGCTCCGCGTCCCCGAGGCAGGTGGCCTGGACCCTGAGTGGGCCCCACGCCCCAGTGTGGCAGTGTGGCTGGGCAGCCGTGCCCAGGGCAGGGGTAGGCAGGGCAGGGGCAGGGAGCACGGCCCAGCTGAGTTAGGGGTTCAGAGACCCTGGGCCCAGCAGTGGACTAGAGCCAGACAGAGCCAAGCAGAGCCAGAGAACAGGACTCTCCCTCGCTGGGAGGGAGCAGGGAACGCTGAGGGCCACGGAGAGTGGGGAAGGCTAGAGTTGGCAGTGCGAGCTGCACCTTCCTCACTGCTCCCCTGGCCTCTTGCTCCCATTACAGCATGCGGGGCTGAGGTCAGCGAAGCGCGGGAACCGGATCCTGCCAGCCAAGGGTTCACTCAGGCACCAGCAATGCAGAGCTCGTGTGCCTGGTGACAGGAATGTGGGATTTTACAAGCTGCTAACTGTACCTTTGGCTACCAGTTGGGAGGAAATGCTTTGAAGACCATTTTACGAACTGGTCATACTACTGAGGTGTGTGTGCATGTGTATCGCTAGGGCACACTGCCGAGACCCCGGGATCTGCGCCGTCTGCAGGGCCCAGCAGCCTGGCAAGGAGCGCTCAGGAACGGCTGCGTCCTGAGCACTCGCTGTCCCGCAGCACCTGGCGCTTCTAGTCACCACTGCGTCCTGACGCCACTTCACACACATAGGGGCCACAGAAGGGACGCGTGGACCCCAGCGCAGGGAGGTCCTTCCGCCCCGACCCAAATGAAGCCATGGCACGCAGTGGCACTCACGTTAGAAAGACTTCCCGAGATATGACCACCTCGGCTAGCTGTGGGCAACCTGCCCTCGCCTGCCACATAGGAGGGACGTGGCCTCCCCAGTCAGACTGAACTCTTCACTGTGATGGAAAAGACTCAGTGTACGAAAAATAGCAACTCACTCGTACAGAGAACTAAGGGTATCTCGTAGCACATAACATTCCAAGCCATTTCCTTATATGCAAAACATTTTTTAAAAAGCAAAGACACTGGCAATATTCATAGGCACTTTCTGCAGATGCAGGTAGTGTTCATTCCTCTGCTGTGATTCAGATTTTAATTTGCCACTATAGCATGTTTCTGTAGTTGTATGATGTAAATTTGTGTTTGGCCTTTTTCTTATAGAAAAATAAATCTTGGATTTTGCGTTAAGTCTTAAAAGCAAAATGTTTTTCCAACAAGAGAAGGTTGTCTTTGAAGACCAAATACAGTGGACCCTTGACTTACGAACTCAATCGGTTCCTGGGGCTGGTTGTAACTCAAGTTGGTTGTAAGTCAATACAGCTGAGATCTGGATGTTTACCTGGGTACACGCTATAGATAACAAGAGGCAGATGAGTCTTCCATTAACCTCATTAACCCGAGGTGTTCGTTATGTCAGGCTGGTTGTAACTTGAGCGCCCACTGTACCTGACCAGCACTCAAAGCAGAACTTTGCTGTTTAAAAAAAGTCTTCTCAGGATGCAGATATGAGCCCCAGTGTTCAAGACATCTCCAGTGGTGCTGGCCGAGCCCGAGCTCCACGAGGAACAGGAAAGCGCCAGAGGGAAGAGGGGCTGCCCTGGGGTCAGCCAGGCCCGCTGTTTTTATTGGTTTTGTAAATTGAGCTTTCACTTAAAGACTACCACTAAAATTTTTTTTAAAAAAAAACGAAAAAGACAAACAAAAGACCCAGAAACCCCTGCAATAATTTGCCTACACTCAGAAGGTTCCCTGATAATTTTTAAATGTCCATGTAATACCGAGAATGCCGAGGACTCGCGAGGCCGACTTCTGTAACAGAAACAGAGCGCACCATTAAGTGACCCTTTGGTTTAATGTGGTCCAGGACATCCCAACAGGCTCTGCTCCAGGGGGAGGCAGGCAGGAAAGCAGCAGGCGCCATTCACTCCCAAGGCCGCCCCCCTCGGGAGCTGTATCTACTCCGAAGCGCGGGGGCGGGGGTGGGGG